TCCTTAATATTTCTGCATCATTAAATCAAACAATGATACTTCAGGTTTCACGGGCAACATTTTTAAGCCTGGATTAGCATCTGAGTAAAAAAAGCTAAAAGCAGGAGCTGTACTTCATGCCTGTGATTTAATCCGGGATTAAACGGTTTGATGAATCCCAAATTGATCCCAAATTTGTATAATATCTCCATCTCATCAGCCCCTGACACAGAGGAGTGTTTATCAGGCAACTTCTTCAACACAATTCAATATGCATTAGAGTAGCCTGAAATAAAATTCTCTGAATGAAAGCCTCACAAGTCAAGCATTTTAAGATTTGTTTACCAATTTGTTATTTACAGGAGTGCATGCTTGTTTATGCATTACTGACACTGAGTTGGCAGAAAGCTGGAAAAGCTTTCTATTGGACAACTCTCAAGAGGTCAAGCTTAGGCATTCTGCTCTGTGACATCCTGTTGGTGTCCCTGGCAAAACCATCTTTGTCACCTGTCTCATCAGATGACAGAGATGATAGGATTAGAAAGTATCTTATGTGAATGAGGGGATGAGCAGAATATTTTCTGATATATAAAAATGCTCCCAGTGGTCGAGCGCAGCCTCAGAGGTGGGGTGATAATATGACCTGCAAAGATGCATAAGTTCCCACAGTAAATGATTCTTCTACTGTTTAACTCTGAGTCTGCTGAACTGCTTTTCGTATAATGAGGAGACCCCATCTCATCATGTTTTACACAAAACTACCAGAAAACCCCACGTGAGATGTTTTTGATGTATTTTTGCCTAAAAACCCACGATATAAATGTATCATATAAAAACACTATTATTTAGTTTCTGCAGTGGTGACATTTATTTTCTGACTCACATTTCATGCCTCAGAGTAGTGGCTAATTCCAGGGTATTGGGGAAAATAATCAGTGTCATGTATCATGGACTCCAAGATTCTGCCTGTGAGATCACTTCAGCGTGTGAATCCAGCCCATGATCACTTTGGACACATTGTCTCAGACTCTTGATCTCACATATCCAGCAAAGGCTCAGTCTCAATGAGGTGCCATATTTGCAAAACTGCTAAAATGAACGTGACACCCAGCAACACGTCAAGCAGCTGATGAAGCAATGCCCCCTTTAACTATTTCTTGTTATATGTAGTTTTTTTTTAAGATCCACTTTTTTTAAAAAAGTACATTTGACTTCTGTTATTTATTTATTTTTATTTATTTATTTATTTTTTGGCTTACTTTTATTTTGTTGATGCATTTAAAAAACATTCAAATGTACTCTTGTTTCTCATATATTGTTTTATTGTAATGAGGAAACAGTCTGTATTATTAAAAAAAGAAAAACTCAGTTATTGTGCTTTTGATTTAATGATGTAGCTATCACAGAGCTGCATTTTATTAATAATTAGTTTTATAATGACTGAGCCCCCTCGTGAGCTGCTGGAAATAAGGTTCTTTAAAACACTTACATCAATCATGTCATTTGCATTTTTCAATTAGCCTGTTAATAGGTTCATATATACAAAATGGGACAAAATAAATTACTATTGATGGAAATACTGAAGCAAATAAGTAAATAAATAAGACTGAATTATCACGTTTGCCTATAATCTCTGTTTCTCAGTGTACCTGTGGTAGTGTCACAGGTTCTGACAGCAGAAAATTGTCTTATATGTCTGTTGCTATATCAAACAACAGATAGTGCCATATCTGACTGAGTGTTTTTGTTTGTTTGTTTTTGCTTTATTATTATTTATATTATTGTCTGGATTTGAAACAAATAATTTCACTTTGGCATCTTTATCCAACCGTTGTTCTGAAGCTCAAAAATGTTGCAACAATGTGTGTGTGTGTGTGTGTGTGTGTGTTTGTGATTTTCAGAAATACTTCGAGGTTGAATAAAAAATGAAATGATGGAGCAGCTGTTCCATATTTATTACGCAGAAGGCACTTAAAGGTGGAACACTGTGGAGGAAATCTGTGCATGCTGCTGTGTTGAGCACGCAGGAGCAGTGTACCAAATGTTTGTGGTTTTTGCTTTTTCTTTCTTTCTTTATTCATTTATTTATTTGTTCTCTGGTGAGCGGGATTACCTCTGAATTATGGAACAGTCCCCTTTCTCTCCTTAAGTAAAAAATAACATCTGTCCGGCAAATGGAGAGCTTAGTGTTTCTCTATAATTAATGGTAAAAGCCTCCAGAGCTGCACATAAAATATACATCTTCCATGCAGGACCCCCATAACAAAGAGAGCAAGAGAGACCAAGAGATGAGGAGGCGGAGGAGAGCAGTAGGTCAGTGAGAAAGGAGGAAGTGCCACTCTCTGTGCATGACAGCACAGTGAGTGACTGTATTTATTCACAGACCTAAAAAATTAAGTCAACACTGCCAAAAACTGCCTTTTCTCCAAGATTTGTTCTTACTTTAAAACCCTTTTATTGTTAAGTCTTTGAATAAAAGCACAGCAGAGAACACTAAAGACTTGCAGGCTGCTTGTTAACGAGGTGAAAATATTCCATGTATAACTCAATATGCAATTTTAGATGTTTTTTTTTATGTGTGTTCCTGACAGTTTGATGCCATCTAGATTGCAGTTTTCATACAACAGTGCTTGCTCAGTAAAAAAAATAAAAAAAGTAAAAAATAAAAAAAACTTTTTATTGAAAGAGATCTCATCAATCTCAATTTTACATCTCAAACAATGTTCTGTCACATAAAACATCTCACGTTGCCTCTTTGCAGACTTCCTTCTAGTAACTAATGGCTGCAGTTAGAAGCTAGCTTGACTCTGCTTGACTATGTCGTTTTCATTAGAGGCCAGCAGCATTTTCTGGTTGCTTGTGCGTGCTCTTGTGGATAAACCTCTTGTCGGTTTAGCAAAAGAGCAGCTTGTCCTGATTCTGCTTTCACTGTTCTGAGATCAGCTACAGTTTGCATGTGAGAGACTGCACATTGCATGTGTGTGAAAACAGACCTAGCAGCTAAAAAGTAACCAAGCAAACTTATTCTGTGATTAATCATCTAAATAAATAAATTTTCTGTAATGACCTTGCCCGAAATGTAGAGTGTAGAGGAATTTTATTACGTTGTTTTGCACAGTTGTTTTGCAAATACACCACCATCAGTTTTCTTTAATATTTTTAATCCCACTGCAGATATTGACAGTTAATGTGTCATTCTGTAGATTTAAAATGTTATTGATATGTTTTAATAATCAATTTGTAGGTTTGTTTATCTGAATTCATTAATTCACCACTTTTATACATAATACAGGTCACCCATACCACAAAAATAACATTTTATAGAATTGAATTCATACTGTAGATAAAACAAATTATATAAAACATTTAAAATAAGACCATCCTTACACATTTGCAACAGTAATATTAACCTGTGTAAGACTAATGGGAAACATTTTTCTGCAGAATAAGTACTTTTACCTTTAATGCTTTAAGTTACATGTGCTGGGCTACATGCTGAGGACTTTACATAGACTTGCAACGCTACTTTTACTAAAGGAAAAAAATTAAATCCATCAACACTCTTCATTGACTAATGAAATAATAATAGTGAAGATTTTAATAACAACTATAGAAATAAGAATATTTTACAATTCTTCAGGCAAAGGAGTCTATGCAGAGAACAGAAAGTTGCAAGATACATAGCATACATAAAATATTGAGAGATAGCGCAAAGTCATTAAATATTGTGTTTTAATAAGGTATTTAAAAAGTGGCAAACATGCATTTTTCTTCTTTTAAAGGAGGTGGTGATTGTTACCTCTGCTTCTTGCCTTTCTGTAAAATCACAACACACCAACAACACATACCAAGTTCACTTCTAGCAGCGCTAAACACATGTGCTGTGTGCATAAACTGTATACATACAGTTTCCCCTAAAGACGTTCAGCAACATTGTCTTGGATCAATCAATAAAAACTTGTCCTGCAAACAAAAAAATCTTCAGAATTCATCATCTCTTATTTAAATGAGCTAACCTCCTTAATAGTGTTGTCTCTTATATATGTTATGCAGCATCTGCTACACATGAACACATAACCTCACAACCACGCATGCCATAATCATCTGCTGTGAACTGCTCCCAACTGCTTTGTTTATTGATTAGTGATTGAAAAATGATTGGCTGTGGAAAGTAAACACAGGAGCACTCAGACAGTCACCATGGAAACACACATCTCATTAAATTTACAGCCAGCACACACACACACACACACACACACACACACACACACACACACACACACACACAAATGGATAATGTGTGTGTGTTGTATTTACAGACAGTGAGGGAAGTCAGAGCTGTAAGTGACTCTTCGGAGTTGGAGCAGTTTATTATATAGCTGATAGTCTTCAGTAAGTGAGGGCATTAATATAACAAAGGCTGCTTTGATGTATAGTGAAAACACTGAAGTTTTTATTGAAAGTAAACAGTGACCTCTACAGGTTACAGTGTGTCAGAACAGGTATCAGACTTAAAGCAGTTCATCTTTCACCACTGCTGTTTGATACATTTGGAGATACATAACGAGAATAATCCTCCAGCTTTTAAGGGAATGGCTGTAACATAAGGATGGAAATTGCAGGCGTCCACTTATCTCTGAGATCATCTGCCTAGAGATACAAGCATTGTAAAAATGTACACAAACCCGCATGGATTGCCTTCATCTTATCTTATCTTCCCAGTAGTTATACCTATATATATTTGAAGATGAATTTTAAAGGATTACGTGTTGTGAACTATTAATTTTTCATTTAATTTTACTTAGTTTTACTTTATTTACACATTTTATGAACACGAAGTTGTAATTTTCTCTCTCTCCCTCTCTCTGTGTAAAAAGTCATATTTTGCTACTAAAAAACATGACTTTGTTATTGTGGTGTAAATGGGTAGTCCAAGTACAAACATGTTGAAACAAGTCGATACTTTATTTGCGATAACTGTTTGTTGTTTTTTTGTTTTGTTTTTTTAGCGGAACCAATATGTAAACCGTTCTCTCCGCCGGAGTATTATAGATGTGGGACGGGAACGATGGAAAGATGGCGGCCGCAATGGTGCAAATGTCATGTTTGTACCGGGGGATGTTAGCGGTCAGGGCCACTGGCATCAGGACGCTGATCCCCGGGCTGGTCCCGGTCCAGTTCCGAGCCTTCTCGGTGCGGAAGGAGCCCGAGCTAGAGGAGAATCCGTACTACAGCAAGTACCAGGACAAGATCCAGAAACTGCGCAGGTCAGCCACCACCACAACCCCCTTACAAACGATAGGTTTCCCGTCGTTTACAGTTTCACATTAACGCTGAGGTATACGGAGTATCTCTTCAAAGATTTCACCCACAGTGAAGTTGTCTAATATTATTTATTGATATGTTTTTAATATGAATATCTATTGTTAAACTATAATGGGTCGGCGTGTGAAAATGCAGGAGAAATCCAGCATGTAGTATATATGAAATATAAATATTAAAAATATCCATTGAATTCATTTCATAAATGTAATGTGAATCTTTTATCATTTGTTTACTTTGAGAGTTGTTGGAATAGTACCCAGTGGAAGATAGTGAATGAATTTCTGCTTTTAACAGTTTACTTGTTTCATTATGTTATCATTATAAAGCCCCACGAAAATGGGTTATAGTATAACTACAACCACTCTCCACTGTTACCGTTGACTTATTGGTTGTTTTAATGTTTTCATCAAAAGTTCCTGAAGAAAATAATAACTGTGATCAGATGATAATGATGTGTACAGTTACAGTCATGATAGAATAGTGATATTAAACACAGATAGCTAGTTAGTTAATTTGTTTTTACACTGACTTTGTCTGAATCCTCTGTAGTGCCAAACCGCAGGAGTACAAGACCCGACTGGAGAAAAGGCATGAAGCCAATAAGGAAGTGCTGGGACACTCGAAGCAGGCAGAGTTTGTCCGTTTTATGGAGCAGGAGGTGGAGTATCAGCGGGGTTCACAACTGAACAACATGATGAGACAATGGACTAGTTAGGAACTGTTTCGTTTCTAACAACCACTTGTTAACAATTGTGTTGTTGCGTAGACAATTTTATTCAGATGTGTGTAACTGGTTTGCATTAGGATGGTCTGGTTGTAGTCAGTGAATTTCCTTTTTGCTGTGGAAATCTTTGCAGCTGGAAAAAAGGGACAAGATGGCAGCTGGTGACGCAACATCAGGAGGTTTTACAAAGAATAAGGTGAGCTAAAGATAGAAGAGGTTTAGGCCTCAGTTGGCAGCAGTGGATCTTGAATAGGACACAAATGGAATACTGAGACAGTTCGCCTTCAATTTAAGAGTTATGTCTAACTACTACAAGCAAAGCATTTTAAAAGCTGCAGCTTTTATTTTGAAGGTGAATTGTCTCTGTTTCTGGTTTACATCGCACTTTCCACTGTTTTACATCACTTGGCATGTATCGCACAAGTGTCTGCAGGCACATTAGCATCTTCCTTGCAAGCTGTGAGTGACTGCAGTAGCTGGTTAGCAACTTAAGTGATTACAGTGAGGTTCTCAAGTCACTTTCCCCTTTTGCTGTTGTCTCAGACTGTGATGTGTTTTCTTTAGACTTTGGGCTCCATCCTCAACTTGGAGATGATCAAGGACAAGACAGGCGAGGAGATTGCAGAGGTGATTGTGTGGGATTGGCCTGTGCACATCAGCCTCAGACTCTCTGTACAGAAACCTTTTGAAACTGTTTTCACCTTTCCTGTTTTTCTCTCAGCTTTGGATGAAGTATTATTCTACCAAGGATACAGTCAGCGCCATCATCCCAGTGAGCTTTATGTTTTTATCTCCTTTATTTTTTGCTTGGATTTAAATGTGAAAATAATATTCATATTTGGTGGCTTTCTGATTGTTTGTTTTTGTCTATTAGTCTTTAGAGTAAATCTGATGGTTCAGTGAGCTTTGATGAAAAGATGTGCTTTTAAACGCCGGATGTGACAGAGAAATCAAGTGACACAACATGCTCATTGGCTAAACAGTTGTGATTAACTAATTGGCCAATGAACGTAGCGTAATTTATCTGTCTTTCTGATTCTAATAATGAGCTCAATTTCCAAAATGAACTTTGTGCTTTATTTAGCATAACTTGTAAATAGGAGCTGAGACCACAGACTGACCAAAAAAGTGTTTACTTAGGTCACAGAGTGACAAAGCTGAGGGCCATGTTCTTCCTCACAACCAAACCAAGTAGGAGGAATCACCCCCTGCTGTCCATGCAAGAGAATGCAGGTTTTTGTAAATTTAGCATCGGGTTTAATTTTTATGATGTGATATTTTATACAAATACTTTAAAAAAAAAAAAATTCGATGGTACTGCATGAGGTGGTCAGCAGTGATAGAGAAGTATGTGAGTTGTGGTGCAGGACTGGGTGGAGACGAGCGCCAGGGGTGATTTGTGACAGAAGGACATGAGCAAGGGAAGGTTTACAAGATGGGAGTGAGACCTGCTGTGATGGTCGAACTAAAGACAGGAGGCAGAGATTCACTTGGAGTGACCAGGATGGACAAGATTGGAAACAAGTGCATAAGAGGCACAGATCATGTTTGGAAACAAAGCTGAGATGGTTTGGACGTGTGCAGAGCAGGAAGAAAAGAGAGAAGAGTCATGGATGTAATGAAGGATGTTTGGTGAGATGGAGGAAGATGATCTGCTGTCTGACAGGGCAAGATGATATTTTATATACAGTCTGTGGTCTCATTGCTATTTAGGTAATGCTAACTCATATATGATGTACAAGCAAAAGGACAAGCTGTGCAGTGATGCAGAGAGTTCCTTTGACATGGTGTCAGTAATAACACAGGAAAAAAATAAAGTGCTTGCTTTCCTAGAATGTTTGTTTTTGACTCATCTACACATTTAAATTGCAGATTTTTTTTTCTTTGGGGCTTTTCTGTGCAGTTTGGTATTGACTGATAATAACACTCTAACACTGCAACGATGCCATTAAGATAATATTTATAGTTGCAGATTAAATTGGGATAAGCACTGTTCATAATGATCTAATATTCTCTCCTCTCTTGTATTTGCAGACACAGATCTATGAGATGATTTTCAGCAGATCACAGTCCTGCCCAATGGTAAGATCAATGCAGCAAGCTATGGAAGCTAAGCCAACGTTATTTCTGAACACTTTAATAACAGCAACACTGACCAAAGTTCGGAGCGAAGGAATAAAAATACTGAAGATAAGAAAAAAAAAAAGCTGCAGAAAGTGATTGAGGGGTATTTCAAAAGCAGCAACAAAGTTTGGCTGAATAGCTGCAAAGTACTAAACTTTAAATTGTCATACCTGTGATTATTCATTAACCATCTGATCATCAAGACTTTCATGATGCTGTTATTCTGTTTTCAGGCAGCCCAATTTTTTCCCCTCTTTTTCTAAGTCGTCACCTCGGTGACTTTTCTCTGTTTCTCCTTCATCTCAGTTCCTTTACGCTTTGCCTCAGAAAGAGGGTTACGAGTTCTTTGTGGGTCAGTGGTCCCGACACGAGCTCCACTTCACCTCCCTCATCAACGTCCAGGTAAAGTGCTTCAGACTTACAACACCTTGACATGCTTCTGGGAGAGGTCATTACTCTCTGGATTCCGGAGCTTGTGAAACTAGGCTTTACAGAGTCATTCCTTCTGGCACCTTTCCTTTGGTATTTTTAACCATAAAAGATGGAAAGAGAGTCTTTATTTTGTTTCTTTACATTTTTGAAATTAGCAATTACGTTTTTTGGAAATGAGTTGATCTGTTCATGCTTGGCTATTTACAGTAACAGCAACTTTGCCCAAACTCTCGTAATTCCACTTTGAGTTTATCACGGTAAATTACCTGATGGTGTCTGTGTGCAGACGCTGGGTGAGAATGCTCCCAGTCAGCTGATCCTATACCACTACCCAGACCTGAAGGAGGAGAAGGGCATCGTGCTCATGACAGCAGAGATGGATCCCAAGTTCATAGTAAGTCCACATACGAGCCTATATGAATAGACTTCAGAGGTTTTATGTTCTTGAGAGATTCACAAATACAGCGATGCAGCGGATGTAGTGTGTCACACCTGATGTGTATTTAAGGCCTCAACATCTGTCCCTCATCTCCACAGACCGTCCAGCAGGCTCAGTGTTTGGCTAACCAGGTGCAGCTCTTCTACGGCACCCAGAGACGGGAGACTTACCGATTGGTGGAGATGTTTAACCACCACCCTGCAGAATTCAAGCACATGTCAGTCATAGCAGAGCTGGAGCAGAGCGGTTTGGGGCCTGCAAACCCTTCCACGAGTTCCTGAGATGGACTGAAGTTGCCACCAAACAGCCTGCTGAGGAACTGTTGGTCTCCGTGTACAGTCGCAAAGATATCCAAGCTTCTTTGCTCAGCATGCTCCAGTGGGATATAGCTGCTTCTTGCTCTGTGTGTGCAGTCTCCAGCAGCAGCTGTGAATTACAGAAAAAAGAACTTAAAGAAGCAAACAGCTTCTCTCAATATTTACTACACATCTTGTGTGTTGTCAGTTTGCCTCAATGGGAAAATAATGTTGAAGTGAGCACTTCTATAATAAATAGTTCTCACTTTGTCTTGTTCTTCATATCAGACTGTGATGTAAGCAGAAGAACATTGTTCATAGGAATCCAATTAAGTAATAAATCATCTTCAAAACTGTAACCTGTTTATATAGTCAGCGTTCTAACCAGAAGAAAAACTTTAAACACAATACTGAGGCAAACAGGAAAGTCTTCACAGCCTGGATTGTGACTGACCACTTATTAATGATCAGTGTGGTATCATTCCATACAACTGTTACTGTACGTTAGAGTTCACATTAACCAAATATTTATGACAGATTTCATTTATTTTTTTAACAGTGATGGAAACATTTCACGTGTGTCCTTCCTTTTGACACATAACACTGATGGATTTAGCAGAAACTTCCATAATAACACCCTTAACAACAGTGCAGCAGAGGTGGGCAGTCTCTGCATAAAATGACATAAACATATATTCTGGGCCTAAAGTGGAACTTTGCAAGTGAGGCACCAAAGGCTCTGGTGCAGAATTTAGAAATAACTGAAAGTAGAAATGAGTCATGTACAAAATTGTTTTAGCTTTACTAGATTTACTTTCTTTAAATGTAAGCTGTGGGCAGGTAACCTGTGCTGCTGCTTCTGAGGTTTGGTATGCTTTGTGGATGTACCCAACTTTACCCTGTAGTATAAGAGCAGATATGACATAAGCCTTTGTGGCTGGTTTCAAACCCTCCAGCCAGAATACAGCTGTGTAAAGGTGGAGTTTGATAAGTGATACTAAAGAGAATACTCAGCAGACTGCGCTACACTGCATAGGAGCACTTTGTATTTGCTGATATTTATTGAGTTGTATGAAACAATGCATTTGAATGTACAGATTAATTTTAATCGATACAGCTCCAATTCACAACAGTAACTTTAAGGTGCTTTATATTTTAAGGGAAAGACCACCAATCACACGACCCCCTATGAGACTGAAAACAGCTGAATTCAAAGATTAAAAGCTGTGGCTCAATGCATCATGGTTCTATGATGCGTGCTACTGCATGTGTTACAGTAAATGCAACAGTAAGAATGGCAGCAGGTCATTATTCACTTTTATTGTATTTATTTAAGGAAAAAAGTACTGTGCAAATCCCCAAATGCAGTATTAGGGATGGTCACATATTCAGGCAAAAACACAAATTCATTTCTCTTAAAACAGTCAATTCCAAGCATTTATTCAAATAAACACACACACACACACACACACACACACACACACGGAAAGCCAGAGAGGACATAACAAAAAAACGTATTTGGGTCTAATCACAATAAAAAGATTTAAAAAGTATTTTCAAAGAGTTCAAATCTATTTTTCTAATGCCATAAACAAAGTTTTTGTAGTGATAGAAACGCATAGTCAACAGACATAAATCTATGTCATTGCAAAATAATGTAGTGCATCTGCAGGTTGCAACACCTTAAATTTAAGCTGGGAGCTGTAAATACAATTATAAAGCCAATTTAAGACTTACTTAATAATCACACAAAAAAGTACAGACAAGGAAAAAAATGAATTTCTATTAACTTAATCTCAACTTTTACTAACTCCAAACGAAACAAGTTAGGCCAGCGTCTCTTCAACAGTCAGCAGTGGCTTCTGGCCCTGGCAGATCCCCAAAGAAAGCAGAATGGATTTGCACGGGGTGGCTGTGATTGTATACCGACTAAATGCTAATGACGCGTTAGGATCGGGGATCGGAAGTTAAATGTAGACAGTGAGAGAAATGAATCTAATGTTGAAGGCTTGTAATGAGTAGTGACACTTTGATGGTACACATTTTAATTCACATAATAGGGAGTGACTGAAAATTCACAAAAGCAGGTTTGGGATGAAATGAACCAAATTTCTAAATCTAGTCATGTTAAGTCAAAGACAGCAGTTGCTTCTGTCTAAGATGGTTATGTCAAACAAAGTTGGATTGTCTACGTGAATGAAAATGGATCTCTTGATGATTTATGCCTCTGGAAAAGAGCCACTATTACTACCGAACAAATTTGAAAACAGCTGATGTTGGCTAGAAGAAACTTTTCTGACTGAACTTGGGTCGTTTGGTGTAGAACCGCATTCTGCCATAAAACTGGCTGGATTGGCATTTGTGCAGTGCTATGTGTTTTGCTGAAAGTGCAGCTGGCCCTAAAAACTGCCATTGAAGCTGGCAAAGGGTGTCAACGTAATTGTGCTGTTGGGCAACTGTGGAGATGTGTGTGGTCACGTTTCTCAGTGGTTTCTGTCTGAAATGGCTTGATCCCTAAGAAACAGGGTGTTATGGATTTGAAAGCATCAGAAGTTTAACTTATCAACATTGGGTGCAAGTAAACCAAAGCCGTGCAGCAGTGGTTCATCAACAATAGGTAGACTGCTTGAGGAGCAATCTGCATTTCCTGCATATAAATGTGTAATCTGAAGGAAAGGAACAAGATCTCATACTGCAGAAAATCCCACCTGGTTTCCATTTGTAGTCAGAGCACTACTGATCAAACACATCTGACCACATAACTGCATGCAACAATGCTTGCAGAGAACGGAAATGCAATGATAAGACCACTGAGTAATACTTTCTGACAAAGATTTAGCTTTCGAGTGAAGGAAGATGGAAGAAAATCGTGGCCTAGATGTACACTGGCCTTGCTTAAGCTGTGAAAACAGAGAGCTGAAATCAGGTGCTGGATTGTAGCAACGTTCTTTCATTTGAACCAGTTTCCTACAGCACCTGAACTGATAAGGGGTGTGAGTATATTTCCCATACATCCATCCATCCATTCACTTCCGCTTATCCTTTCCAGGGTCACGGGGGGGTGCTGGAGCCTATCCCAGCTGTCATAGGGCGAGAGGCGGGGTACACCCTGGACAGGTCGCCAGTCTGTCGCAGGGCCAACACACAGGGACAGACAACCATTCGCACTCACATTCACTCGCACATTCACACCTAGTGGCAATTTGGATTATCCAATTAACCTATCCCCACAAGCTGCATGTCTCAGAAGACAGACATGCTATATTTCATAACATGTAATTGCTAAATTTTATTGGGGCTAAACACAGTACAGGAGAATGCTCAACAAATACAAATTAAGCAGACAAATATAACAAGTAGAATAGGGAAAGTGTATCTGGAAACCTGCTGACAATGTGAACTGAAATGTAATGGAAAAAATAGGATGTAGAGAAGCATATTTGGTAACTCAGTGTCTCAACAGGGAATTAAAAAATGTTTCAAAAGCAGGATGGAGGAAAGATTCTCTGGCAGCCTCGGGTCAAAAACGGGTTATCAAGAATGTTCAAATACAGGATGGAGAAAATGAAACTGTTATCTCAGTTCCAGAAACTGGAGTAGTTGATGTTAGTGAACAGAGGAAAGAAATTAGCATCTCTGTGCTAACACAAGTGGAGAAAAGTAAATGTTAAATGGACTGGTTGTTATATAGTGCTTTTCTACTATAGCTGAGCAATCAAAGTGCTTTATACAACGTACCTCGTTCATGTCTATTCATACAAGCAATTTTTTCTATGCTTAAGTGTTTTCTTTCTATCTAACATTCATACTCTGGTGGATGCACGAATCATGGTATCGCATCTCGAATAGTCTTCTTACTGTCAAAAGTGGCACAAAAGTTGCTCATTTTCAAAGGAATGTGAATATCATCATTGTGAAGGAAGTTGTCAGACCTTTTAAAACTATATTTAAGATTTTCTAGACGAAACAAGACCCAGATAAACACTAATTTTTGCTCTTGTCCCCTCATGCTTTCCACACTCATGACTATGGAGCGTCATGTAACAGTGAACACGACAAACTCAAATAACATTCATTTTAAGCTGGAACAAAATGCTACTTCAAGTTGTATCGAAATTTTACAAAAAGTTCAAACAGCATTGATTTAAAGAAAGAAACATTTTCTCAATACAGCTCTTACAACTACAGATGCAACATTGGCTGTTTCTAACATACAGTACAGTGGCTGGACATTGTTAAACACAGTGGACTTTGATGTAATCACACCTCATGTCATGCTTTTCCTACATGATCGCTCTCTATCACATTTGACATCCAAACACACATCCTCTCAATGTGAGTACATCATAGGCATTATTGTAAAACCTGAAACTACATTTACAAAATATTTGTCACAGTGCATTCAAAATACTAAAACTACATTAGAAAACAGAGCAAAGTTCAAGTGCTTTAGTCACCTAGAAATGATAAAACTAAACATAAAAAAATGATCTAAGGATTAATTCCAACATGACACTTTTAGTAATAAATCCAGGTTGAACTGACTGGCTGAATTAATCCTAATCAATTAAAAACTGAATGTGCTTTCTGTCAGAAGTGAACAGATTAACCGTTGGAGGCCTTCAGTGGTTAATCACAGGTGACTGCTGGTCTATTCGGTCCCATCAAGAATACAGTACAAGAAATTTTGTGCTTCCTTGCTAATTCTGCTCTATCTTCTTCAACAATTATTAACATTTAGAGAAGCTACTTTCAGCTGTATTTACAAGGGATCATCACAGTGGGTAGCACCACATTGGCAGGTTTTTACACCAGATATCTCTTCTGACGCAACCCCAAAGTAATTTGTGTAAACCACTACACTCTGACAGAAGCTGTTTTTTTTCTTTATTCTTACCAAATAACTTTGCCAGCTGTATCAGGCAGAATTGTACAGTGCTTGAACACTTAAAGTGTGTCCATAAAGAAGGGTACTGTACAGCTGTCAGCTTCAACACAGCAAGCATGTATGTTTGTAAAGCCTTGAAATTAATTAAGAAGAAGCCTCAGTTCTGTTATTTTGCTCCCTTTATACTTTTGTGCTTTTATTTTTGTAGCTACTGCACTTATATGACATAAAGCTCATTGAAATTCTACAAATGTAACTTTGCTAGGCCCTGTGGAAAATTTGCATCTATTTACTCACACACTTACTGACTTTATATACATTGCCACCACATTCTTCCTAAACATGCAATTTAAATTCAAAGTCAGGTTACCCCAGTGTAGGAACTGGGGACACTGTTCAAGGCCTGTACAATGTAGACAGTCCCAAAAAGTGAAGCCATGGTATCTTGGATGTGGGCAGTGCCATATTGTGCTGCTCATTTGCAAACAGATCCTTCATAGTAGTGACTTCAGGTGAGAAATTACAGACATATTTCCACTATCGACTTCCCTACTGCGCAGTCTCTGTTAGAAAGATGCCAGGACACAATTCTGTGATACTTCAAATTCACTTTTGTACAATGGGTAAAAGTAATAAACATCACATTTCAATGATTAACTGACGAAGATGTCAGATATGCTGGAGTGTGCAAGAAGAACCTGGCACAGCACGTGTTCCTTGACTATACATGTTTTTTCTTTTCCTTTGTCCCAGCTTTGCATCATCACCTACCTCCTCAACTCAGGAGAGGCTGTTTCTTTGTGTCTGCTGTACTTGTACCGTGTGCTCCGCTGCTATTCCCTGAGTGATTCTTCTGAAGTCGTCTCTTAGTACATGGCCTCAGTGTCTCGGATGCTTCCGAACGACAAACTGAAAGCGCTTCCAAGTCTTTTTGTGATTGTGCTGCCTTCCCTCTTTTTCTTCCTGTTCCAGTTCAGCAAAGAGGCGGAGCTCTGGCCTTTAGCCCCAGACAGCAGACGATGCCGAGTGTTTTCTTTGTCGCTGCACAGCGACAGCATAACTGCCCTCCTCTCCACCTGCTAAGAAACAAAAAAGCATACACACAGGTACACAACCACTGAAACAGCAGACAAACCCCACAGATATTTCCACAATTTAAGGAATCAAAGAAGAGACTTTCAGTTTTGATTCAAAGGTTTGAAAATAAAGTATAGCATTGCCCTGAGCCTTCAGGCTAATACTGGGTTAGTATGAAGATGGCTCAAATGTAATCAAATGACAAACACTCATATTCCCTTGTTTCAGCATTTTACAGGTGAGGGGTAAAAAGCATCCATCAGAGAGACAGAAGGGTAAATTCTGAAAAAAGGTCACTGAGCACGGCCTTTTCATGCTGCTTATGCTGGAAAAGGGCTAGACATCCATGGAAAACAACAAAAAATAAATGCCACCAAAAAGCTTTGCAACAATTTATTGTTCTCTACGTCTCTACGAAGGAAGTTTATCTGAAATCTACATGCTTATGAATACCCTACATAGCTCATACACATATTTACCTGTGTATCATGTGAGTGTAATGTGACCACACTGATCTCCACCCCTCTGTCACTGCAGCTCTTCAGCATGTGGACCACCTCACCATGTTTGGCCCACTTACAGTCCTTTCCATCTACTGCTACTATGTAGTCTCCTTCCCTCAGTCCAGCCTCCTGAACACATCATGTAACATCATTAGTTCATCTTAATTACATGTTTTGACCTCATTTTTTCCATGCAAGTATGCAGGCCCGCAATATATTCCCACAATGAAGAAGGAGACAAAAGAAGGAAGTGTATTGCATTTTGTCTCCTTCATGTCCATCACAACTCTTTTCTAAATAACAAATGAATGGCTCTTTTTTGCAGTTAACTACTTAATCAAGTTCAATTCAACTGTATTTATGCAGCGCCAAATCACAACAGTCACCTCAAGGCACTTTATATTGTAAGGTAGACCCCATAATAATACAATAAGTAGACAGGAAAGCAGGTCTTAAAATATTTAAATCTTAGAATCAAACTGCACATCAATTCTTTTTGAGAGGATAAAAATAGAATAGAAATAAGACTACAAGAATACAAGAGAAGATCTTTTCTTCTCACAGAATCTTCTCTAGATGTGCAGGGTATATCTCACCTCTGCCCAGCCTCCAGGCACCACTCCAGCCACCAGGACAGGAGAGTCTCCTCTGAGCGTGAGCCCCAGTCCTCCTTCTCTCTTACTCAGGCAGATCACACGCATCGGGCCCCAGCGAGCCCTCGCACAGAACACTGACAGTGGACCCTAGAGCATAAGAACAGGAAACAATTTTAATGGTTACCTAACCTGGGTAGGTATCTGCCAAGTGTGTATTATTTCTTCCCTGTGGGACTTACCAGTCTTTGGAAGATATCAGTAACCTTGACTGTGGAGAAGTTGGGTGGAATGACGTCTGGTTTCTGGTGGGTATGAGCTGGTAAAGAAGCCAGTTAGTCACTATGATTTAATCAAACAGAAAATGTAATCACTGACTTTACGATTATACGTGACACTCACACTGTATCTCTGGGGCCTCTGCAATTTCATCAAAGTCGTCCTCTCGGTCGAGCTCTGAGTATTTGTCCAGGGAACGTTTGTGTGTGACAGAGAGCACATCCTGCAGGATATCCATCTTTCTCAGGATCTTGCACAGACTGTGGACACGCATGGCCTCCTCATGTCTGATTACAGCACGCCGCAGGTGGGCCTTACCTTCATGTAAGCAGAAATTATTATTAAAAAAAATAAAGGTTTCAAAGAATGGGAATATAACTATTCAAGTTATAACATGAGCATTTTGGTTCATTTTCAAGATGCTTGCACAACGCAGCTCATAGCAGCTACGTGATGAATACAAACTCACCAAGTTTTCGTCTTTTTTCAGGATCTTGAAGAACCTGGCTGAGTTGTGGCCCAGCAGGAACACTGGCATGGCACTGAAGGAAGGCCTTCTCAGCTTCCTCCTCCTCTTCCTCCCCTCCTGCCAACACTATGGAAAAATATATACAGCTAAGATCTGTTTAGAAATGCTAATTAGGTGAGCATTATCTCTGGAAAAGAATACAATAAAGTTAGGTTTATTGGGTAAATCACTAGAAATGTCAGTTTTCTTCTTCAAAACACAGTGCTTTTGATGCTGCATAGGTGATACACAGGACAGAGGTGTACTCCATAGGTGACAGAGGAAAACAGCTTTGTTGATGAATTTGCCTCATTAGGCATTAACAGACTGCTGACAAGATGACAAGCACAGACAAGATAACGTCTCACACTGCCCGCTGGATCAGTCTGACACCACTCTCACACCACCAAGAATGTCAGTCTTTGATAAAAAATATTACATTACAGTCTGTTTATAAATTAGCAGCAAAAAGTGTCTTACGTATGTAACAAGCTTCAACTTGATTTTAAGACTTTTTAAAGACACAAGTGTACTGCTTTAATTCAAAATTAAATATAGCCAAGGCAGAAGGTTATCTACAAAACAAGAAGTATGAACTCTCCCTAATGAACATGTGAGTAAATTTTGTACTTACACATGTGGTCGCAGAGTGCAACAGCAGCGTAGTAGTGGGAGAGAGCGCGGAAGTGTTCAGATTTTACCTGAACCATGGACACCCATGAAAATGGCACGTAGTCCTTCATCAAAGGCTGTGTCATAGTCTGCTGCACTAACAAGTAAACATCTGACACCTACAGAAAACACACATGCATACAGTTAAACATAGGGCATTAAGGGTAATAACACAAACAAAGCACATATATATTTACTCACCCGTGCAGCCTCCTGTGCCAGCCGGAGCTGGGAGGTAAAGTGCGTGTCCTGTGTGGTCAGGGTGATGCGCTCAAACACACACTCCTGTACCTGGGCAAGCATGAGCCGCACCAACATGCAGAGTGATGGACTACTCATGTCCAGACTTGGAGCGTTGGAAAAATTCTCTTTAAGATAATTAAATGCACCTACACATTAAAAAATAAATAAATTACCAATAAATACATTACCAATTAGCCATGTGAATTCAAACATCCTGATATCAATGTTTATTATATCAAAAGTATATAATAAAAACAACTGAACAAAAGCTTTAAATTTACAGGATTGGGTACCTCAAAATCATCAATAGCTGATTATAAACAACAACAAAATCTGTTATATTAATGGCAATCTTCTTGTTTTGGCTGCTCCTTTTAGGGATTGCCACAGTGAATCATCTGCCTCTATCTCGCCCTATCCCTAGCATTGTCTTCTGTCACAGCAACCCTCTGCACGTCCTCCTTTGCTCCTCTGAGGTCTTCTTCTTTTCCTTCTGCCTGGAAGCTTCATCTTCAACATCCTTTACACAATATATCCACTATCCCTCCTCTTTACATGTTGCATTCTTCTCTGTCACTCCTGACTTACTCATGCAATATCACATTTCCTATTCTTGGTACCCTAACACATGCGTTCTCTAGATCCAAAAAGACAACAGTGAAGCTCTTTCTGACCTCCATCAATACTCTCAAAGCAAACATTGCATGTGTAGTTCTTGCCACGAAGCCAGACTGCTGCTCGCTGATCAAACCTCTTCTTAACCTAGCTTCCACAACTCTTTCCCTTAGCTTCATGTATGGCTCACCACCTTTATCCCTCTCTGCTCATGCTTAGCTACAATCTACAGAACACTGCCTTGCAGTCTCCTTTATCTTGCAGTTTGCACATTCGGCATAAGGGTTAGTATACGGTCATTGTTAACCCAGACCCGACAAATTCAGAATGAAAAATTCATTTTTTATGATCTGCATCTTTGATCTGGTCAAGATTTTATATCAGCTGCACTTCCTGATGCAACTCTCCCTATTTATCTGGACTTGGGCCCAGCACTAGGACTATATTGCCTTGTGCTGTTTTGTGTAAAAAACAAGCCCCTCGTATTTGAAGGCTCACAAAACGAGAAATCAAGTATTTTGATGTATGATTTTGCCATTGTGCTACCTGCAGCACGCTGAAAAGCATCTATAGCTCGGTCTATGCCAGCTGTTGCAGAGCGGTCCTGTCGTGCTCCGATCTGCGTGTACAGGGCTCCGATGTTGAACAACACACTTCCCTTCTCGAAGGCCAGCGCACGCTGACACGATGGAACGCCAGTCAAAGAGTCATACCTGAATGACAAACGAAAAGGGAACCACCAATGAGCAAAGTTTCTATTAAGCTTAAGTTTTTTTTTTTTACAGTCATGGAATGAGACACTGCCATCCATGCTCTGCTTCATAATTAGCACCTTCAAGCTCAACTAAAATTTGTAGCCAACCACTTAGAAACATAAATGAGATTTTAATTCTGGAAAAATGGTTTTATGGTCACATTACATAAATCTGTCCCTGGAAAACAACTATTGAATGCTTCGATTTTCTCCTGAAAGAGAGAGCAGCAGTAAGGCACCAGGATGTAGTAACAACACGGCTAAAGTGCACATTTAAAAAACTGTTCCTTTGCCCATTTTTATTTTACTGCATATTGCACATACTGTAAAATGCATGTTAATGATTATGATAACCCTTCAGTATTTAAATTATGCTATCATATAATACCAGTGGAAATGAACACCCAGATTCTTCTGAGCAGAGAAGAAGCGTTGATCCAGGTAGTACAGCTGATTGTAGTACTCCATTAGCAGCTCCAGACCGGCCTGGTTTCGACTGGGTGTACGCATGGCCTGATTGAATAATCAATAAACTAAATGTTAACACTCATTTAATGTCAGCTACAGACAGCCTAAAAGAGACATCAACTTTAAATAAATCAATACTTTTCATTCCACTTGTTTTTCTACCCATGATGAGCAGAATGTTTACTCTGGATCAAACTGTATGGGTGAATTTATTAACCTGTCTAAGTTCCATAAGCTCTTTGATTTCCTTGTCATAGAGAAAGCTGTCCTCCCCGTAGTGCTCATATATGAAGTCCTGTGAAGGCAGACAGAGACACGGTGACAAAAAAATTATCTTCACGTGTCCACATGAAGATGATTTTGGTTATTCTTCCATACTATCTGGAAAAAGGAAAGCAAATAAGCACAAAAATATGATATTTCATCAAACTACCCATCTGTGTCAAATGTTTAGTAATGAACAAGTAATGAAAAGAAGTCAGGCCAACTAATGTAAATTAGCATAAAAATATAAACACTGCTTGTAAAATAAGCTTAAAAACATTGATTCAGTAACTTTTATTAGGATACATTTATTGCAATAATCTTTTACTCAAACACAAGTTTTTCTTGAAAAGAACAACAAACTGGATAAATAAAGAGAAGGAGGTAGATAGATGCTGACTTCACCTTGATAGCAACAGTGACATCCACCTCTTTGGTTTCTTTTAAGCCAAGTGGGATCATTGGAACATTGACAGCCTCACTACAAAAAGAAATTAACAGAGGTAGTGTAGGTTTCGGCAATGACTGCTGCTGCCATCTGCTTGTTTTCAAAACCAGCGAGCACTATTGTCAGTGCTTCATCCTGCTAATCAGCAAAGCTAAAGCCAAGCAGTAAGCCTGTCACCCCCCACAGTTACCTACTGCCATTCACAATAACAACAAATGTGCACACTGCCACCACAGGGTTATTGACTATACTCTAATCAGGGGATTTTTCCCTCACACGAGACGGAGCCGTGGAGGCAAAAATCTTATGGCTGTGACAGAATGCATGACACACATGTGGATGCTTTTTTCCTTTAGTCTGTTTAAATAAATGTGACTGAAACCCAACTTTGACTTAAACCCCATCCTATTATTAAAAAACAAAGATAACATTTCTAAGGACTGGTCATCACAAATATCCAAGTACAAGGAGGTTATACACCCAGTGCCAGCGTTACTACAAAAATATAATGGATGCTTGTTTTCCCCAATTATAATGATCATTAGTCTAATAAGCACGGCCTGGAATTAATGGGACAAATACGCATGCATTTGTGCACCTGTCTGTCTGGTAGACGTCCATGCTGCTGTTAAGTTCCTCCAGCTCCTCTTTGAGCAGCTGCAGGTTGGAGTTGACAAAGCTGAGCTCTAGAGCCACCGTCTCCTTCACCTTGTTGTTGGTTGTCGCCCTGCAGAATAAAACACAAAGACGTCCAGGTGTTTTGTTTTGTTTTTCAGTTCTCAATACTTCTTTGTGGGCTTTCTAAAAACAGTACTTGGGCTGATTCCTAATCTGCTTTGTCGTAGAGCCCAGTATCACAATTAGAACAACACAGCTAAAAACTGACTTGCTACTTTCATTCAGTATTAGTGGATGCAGCAAACTTTTCTGAGAACATAAATTCAGGATGGGGTGAAGGCAAAAAAAGCCTCTCTTTAATTTATGCAGCTCTCTCCACCTTCTCCTCCCTCTGTCAACCACTATTGATTCACTTTCTCCGGTTCACCCCCCAAAAACAATGAGAGGGTCGATGACTAATGCCAGCTCATACTTCTATGGGGTACACAATGTTCCCGGAAATCTGAAGCATCTCTAGTTTACAATGTTGTTGTTTAGAAAAGTGGTAGAGAATTCCTCCATTATTGGTCCTAAACAGTGCACAAAATTATTGGGACTTTGCAGTCATAAAGACATTCTATCCATGAAGGAGAGAAATGCATCAAAATGGGCACTGTGTCAAATTCACAGAAATGTAGAAGAAATGGTTGAGTTTAGATGAACTGAAAAAATAAAGGCCTGCAACATCAAATTTACTTACATTTCCTCTGGCCCATCTATCCACCCCATCTATTCTGTATCTTGTTTTAGCGGGAAATCTGGTGTCAGTTTTGGAGATGTTTCTACAAAATCCACGTCGCCTTGTTTTCAAGTTATCGATTTCACAAGACTTTCAGAAAACTTACTCTGACTTTGAGAGTGAGGTCACTGAGATTCGAACTCATCCAAGATTTTCAGTAGATGCACCTGTGGTATGAATATGAATACACTGTCGCATTCTGGAGTTATCATATTCAAAAAAAATTCAGAAAACTAAACCTCTGACCTCGACTTTGAGGATTCAAAATCCTCAGATATTTCTAGGAGATACATCGATGATATCAATTTGTAGCTCCTACGTCGCCTTGTTGTTGAGTTATCACATTCACAAGCTTTTCAGAAAACTACCCCTCACCTTTGACCTTTAGGTTGAGGTCACTAAGACTCAAACTCATCCGAGGTTTTTGGTAGATGCACCTATGGCATTTGAAAATCCTAGGTGACTTCCTTCTTGAGTTATCACAAACTTAGGTGTCCAGCCTGCCCAGCTGCCCATCTGGAGGGATGACTACAACACCCCATCAGCCTTTTATGGCTGAGCGGTAAAGAGCTAAAAAAAACATATGTTTGAGTGTTTATCTTGAAATAGCACTTCAGCTTCAGTTGCATATACCTGTTACCAGAACACTCACATCACTTTGAATTTGAAAAATTTGTGGCACTTTTTCCATGTTATCCTTTAACACATGACCAATCTCAGTTCAAACACACAACTGAAGCTCACTTTTGAGGACTTTTTAAATCAGGTTAAGCTTTCCAGTTAGACCACTTCAGCTTCACCTCTCTCCTCATCTGTCACTGCCTCTCCCAGTCTCACACACACAAACGCCGATATGTAGGATCAAGCCAGGGCCAATCTGATTAGTCAGCATTAAAAAGGCTGCCAAATATCCCCTTCACACACATCCACTTACACACACAACATGCTGCAGCTCCGGAAGGGTAACACAAGTATTTCTTGCTTATGAGATGAAGAATCAGAGAAGTTTAAATGTTAGAAGTTTTTTTTCCTGTGGCCATAACACATTTTAATTATTTTAAAAGCACTAACCAAAGCAGAAACAGAAAACAATGTTCTGATATCATTAAGAACAAACTGATCGACAAAGTCATTAAAAAACTGAGCAATAGTCCTTGTCACATGACCTGTAAATAGTGTCTCTGTATGTTTTTACTAACTTGTGTTTAACACCAACCTGCCAGAGGGTCTGCAGATGGAAATTAGCACAAGGCTATAATCTGGCATATTTACATTTGTTTAAATGTTCATTAATATCTATTGCCCCTCTTTCTAAATAAATAATTTAAATAAATTATATAAAGCACCTGTGAGATAAGAAAAATATCTCACATGCAGAGATATTTTGCAGACCTCTGGGGTCTGCATGGACCCCTGTCACTGGGATGATGTTTAAACAACATTACAGCCCCTCAGCTGAGCTCCTACATGCAGCACAAAACATGACGTCTTCATTAGCCAATCACAAACCCTGATTAGTGACACCCCCTCCCCTGTATTTAATTAGCATCCCAAACCCCCCTACATACAAACACACACAAACATCAACTCCCACACACCAGCACTAATACCATGACACAGTTCCACAACAGTTTCACAACAAGTGAAGTGCAAGTGAAAGCTACATGTTTTTGTGTATGTGTGTGTTCATGTGTCTATGTGTTCCACTTGACTGGAAAAAGAAGGACAGAAAAAAAAGGTCTGACAGCACCAGACAAATAAGTGGGGGATGAGCTTGCCAGAGCACCGCTGGGAATCTCTGCATGGGAACAGGACGGGGGCAGACACAAAGCTAGCTGATTACAGGCTGACGGGTTGTGTGGGGGTCTTTGTCTATGTGACCGGGCGTCCCAATAGAACGGGAGAGAGTGCTTGTTTTATATCCAGTAAACTGAGTCATCACCTTTCGGGATAAGAGCCTAAATAGGTCAAATGTGGAGCTAGGGAAACATTGAAAAGACAAATAAAAAGAACTTAACACCCTGTTACACAGTAATTACTTTAAGGACTGTTTCATCCTTTAAAACATTTAGAAAACAAAACAGCAACAGCCACTGCAGTCAGGCCACTCAAACTGGCTTGACTATGAAATAAGAATTTGCAAATAGAACGACAGATAGGGCATCAAAAGAGTAATTTATTAATCCCATACCAGCTGTGGTTTTCTACACTCACTAAACTTATGGGAGCATTTTGAAGCATCGTAATAATACAATAAAATAATACAGAGTACAGAGTAAATAAAAAAGAAAGAAGAAAGATTTTTTTCAACTTTACCAGTTGTTGCAAAAACAAGTCCTGAGACAACAGTGAGTCTGTCTTAAATTAAAAACATGGTTATTTTGATTAGATTAGATTTTAATGCGGCACCACTGAGGAAGCAGAAAGGAGCTCTTTGCTTTAATTAAGTGGCTACTCCTCCTCCCGAATAGTCCTGGAGCAGCAGCATGTCCCATGTCTTTCCAGAGACTTTTGCACAGCGGTCTGCTCATACTTTAAACATTCTAAAACTGCCACGGCAGAGGTTTAGAGCAAATGTATCCACATACTTCATGCATATACTCTGAGGCTCTGTACTAATTTACCTCTGAGTGGGCAATAAACATGGACGTGTTGAGAATGAGTTGAGGAGACAGAATATAGAGGAGAGCCATGGAGAGACACTGGACAAGGATGATGCCAATGTCCTCGGAGACAAGACCTTGATGCTATGTGAACATTTCATTTTTAACTTCGTTCACTTTCCTCACCAGTAAAACTCTCTGGTTTGTGTGAATGACAACTGGCTGCTTCAAGACACAGGGCCAGCGGTTCAGAGAGTTGGGAGATTAGCTTCAGTGGTGCTCATGCTGCCAAAGTATGCAGTGTTCACTCACTGTTTTGTTTGAAAAAAGCATTAATACAAAAAAAGCAAAAATTTGCACAACAGGGAGGAGATAAACCAGCACAAGCACATAAACAGCCATATTCACACACAGTGAACACAAACAGAGCTGTAAAACTGGGTGGTGCTGGTGTGTGTGTTTCTTTAGGATGGGAGTGATCTCTGACCTTTTCCCATCAACCGACTGAACCAAAAATGTGAGGCAACTAACAAAGACGACAACACAGATGGCACCTGAATGGCATTTCTCACAAAATCAAACAGAAAAAGTTGCTGTGTGACGAGTGAATATACATTACATTTAAAGCAACTGTGATACAGCTGACAAACACAAAGCTTCACAATTTTTTACCCATGGGATTGGAAAAGCAGCTCAACACTACAGCACTGCATCACTTATTTCCAAGAAGATTCGTGTCCATTTTTGCCTCTCCAAACTGTGAAACAGACACGCATGCAGATGTTGCATTACTAGAAGGAGGAAATAATCTATTTAAAGCCACGAAGTCGGTAGTGAGAAAAATGTATGAAGTACATTCCAGGGTCCTTAATCATCAAAATTGATTAAGCTAGGCAGCTAATATGTATATACATATAACTGTTAATGTTAATAATGTCTGTTAAAATGCTTTTCCATGATTATGTTCATGTTGGCTTGAAATAAAATATCTTCCTCTGCCGTTACTGCAACATCTGTGCGCATGTACGTGAAATGGACACCATGGACTGCTGTGTCTATTTCAAGTTCTATTGTGATATCGGGTTGCAACCACCCTATCTATGGGAGTAAGCTAAAGTTCCTGGAGAGAACATGCAAACTCCACACACACGATAGATTCAAACTCAGGTCCTTCTTGCTGTGAGGCAGCAGTGCTAACCACTGCACCACCGTGCTGCCCTCGTGTAACATTACAACAGAAAAGTAATTAAAAATAAAATAAAAATTGTGCGTGCAATGTTCTGATCCGTCGCAATGTCTCACCTGAACAGGTTCTCCGCTCCAGTTCTCATACGCATCTCCTTGTTGATCTGCTGGTTGATGCGAGCCCGTCGATGCTGCAGCTTACTGCGCTGAGTCTGAGCCAAAGGATCACAGCCCTGCAGATGAAATAAAGAAATGGAGGAGGTAAAAGAATTACTGAATGACCAACTACAAAAGTTGCATTTCCCACAGAATTAGACTATCTTAATTAATCTACTCACCGGCAAGAAAGCAAACCCTTTCCCAAGCAATAGCGTAAATGATGCTGTATGTTATAAGGGTGTAAAGGTTATGGGGTTATCGTTTTTATCGGTAACTCGGTTTCCCTGGGTCTTTCAATTATGTTTTATGATTAAATCTTCTATTTTTTTGGTACCAGTACTGGTTTTATTTTTGTTATATTTATCCGCGACACCTTAAAGGCCGGTCCATGAAAATATTGTCGGACATAAACCGGTCCGTGGCGCAAAAAAGTTGGGGACTGCTGCTCTAAGAACAACACAGATACTTCCAGACACCAGTTTAAAACCATCCAGTTGACTACAGGATGAGAAACTCAAGCAGCTGACTAATATCAAAGATAGCAACAAAAGAAACTGGCAAGTGGACCAGACTGTAAAGAAACACGATGGTAAGGGCATGTGAACTTCCACTAATATCATTATCAAGTCCCTGTATGAGAAACACTGGAGTCTGGAGAGGAAGCTGAATGATATCGAGCCTTAGAGAAACACAAAGTGGAAGGTTCAGGGCTGGTTGAGTTAATGAATTTGCAAAACCGGAGCAAACTGATGTAGTACCAGTAAATCCATCATGGAAGCTGCTGAAAAACCTAACACTTAAAAAAAAGACAGCTACACTAGACTACCAAATATACTTGGTGGCTGTTAATATATTTTGGCAGTCTGCCCAAGAAAACACAGAACAGCTGTGCAAATGTGACAACATTACTTCATGCTGTATGATCTGAGTAAGAAGTACTGGAAGCAGTTGGCAGACTTACAACCAGCTAACTAATGTTTTCCCCGATGGAAATTATCCTGTCCAAAAAAAAAAGAAACCGTAAGAGACACAGCCACAGTGGGGATAAGATTTAATATATCGAAAATAAATCTCAAACAGACTGCGGCGCAGTGAGAAATTACTTTTTTTAAGCCTTCCTGTTTTCACATGACACCAACCCCAGTTTTACCATGGCACCATGGCATGTCATTACTGCCAGTGGAGAGCAGTCTGAAAGAATTACTTCGCACTACAAACCCAGTATAGCATAGAGATGATGGACGTGACAACACGTGAAGGTCATTGTGACTGCTTAACATGATAATACTGTGCCACAACAAAGCAGAGGACATACATTCTCTCAGAAGATAAAAAACTTTAACAGGATCTGTACATGTGTTTGAAGATTTAACAGCTTTTTAAAATCTTGCTTCAACAAAGGCAATTTGCTCACAATACTTTAAGAACTGCCTCACAGCTGGTAATTTGTGTGCTCACTAAAACCAGACATGTGTCATACAGTACAGCACACTTTCACACTCTGAGGTAAACAAATGTACAGTTACATGACAGATGGCGGAGCTGTACTGTAAACAAGCTGAATACTCCCTTTTTCTTATGCCCTACTGCTCCTTCCATCTTCTTCTCTATCCCTCTTCCAGGAATCTCAACAGTATATAGTTGTTATGTTTGTCTCTCTCTTTTTCTTCATATATCTCTTTACCTCCCAGTAAAGGAGTTTGTTTAACATGCGCACATCAAGTAACCCTCCAGTGAACTGAACTGATCTCCCACGACAGGGCAGGTTACAAAGACTGAAAATCGTACTTCTGATTGCTTTGGTCACTAACAGACTGGCGCACGGAAGATGCTGACTGTCTGTAAACACTTGCTGTTTACTCTCCAAGCGTTAGAGAAACTTGTGAAAACGTGAAAAACTGCCAACAGGAGGCAAAGAACATTTGCCTTCAACAGTGAAACTTCTGCCTGACTGCTGAAAGAAACACATTTTTAAAAATTGCAAATTTTTTGGAAGGCAAATGCTCACTCATTTTGCTTCTTGCTTTTCACAGACAACTTGGCAAGTAGTTTGGAATTGTTTGCAGACATGTCACAATCCTCCAGGTACACTACTTGCAACCGTGGCACCCAGCTAATGACTAAAGCAACCACCAAGAGGTTTTTGGTAAAACACACTATTATATACATACAGTAAGCAAAGTAACTACACACTGCTGTTAATACAGCATGCAAAGATTATATATCATCTATTATTTTTTTATTGGTAAAAGTGATAACTAACAGTTTGGTAAATGTATATTCTGTGATTTACTTATTTGTTACATTTTATTTAACAATGTCAGGAAAGCAATGTTTCAGGGGATCCTGATGTCACACAGTCTCATAAAAATAAATAAATTACAGACTAATAATTTAACAGTGGTACACGATCAGCACTCTGTGAACATCTACACGAAACCAAGGTATACCGTATGTAAATATAGAGCTAGATCAGTTCAGCCCTTCTCTGATGTATTGGGATGGTCACTACGTCAAAACTCAGAAAATGTGGTCAGCGAAAACATGTGCTCTTTTTCCCAATAATGTGGGTATTATCCCTGCTGCTAACTTTCTTTGTTCCCTAAGTTAAAGTTTACATTTGCCAATTTACATGATTATCGATGACATTCAGGTTTCATGTTCTTTAGTTTTAATTACAGGTCCAATAAGATCCCCATGTGAAGCCACACAGCATCATCTCGTGGACTGTATTCTAATTTTACTTATCCAGTATTTTTTTTTATTTGAAATGAATGTAAGAGTGTGGGTGTCTGACCTTGCGGATGCTCCCACTGTGGCTGCCATCTGTGGGTAAAGTCGACGGGAATTCGTCGTCGTCGTCAGAGGGACCGTCTGACAGGGACATCTCAAACTCTCTGCAAAGATTCATGTCAGCATTTTTATTACACTCAGGCACGTTTAGACGCACTTCTCATACACCACCGCACTCTTGGAACAAGACTCTTAGCTTAACTCGCCATTTTAAAACGTAAGTTTTATCCCAACGTAAACAAAACAAAAATATCCTCCCCAAAAAGCGTTAATTTGGCTAACATTAATCCTTGCCTTATCGCTGGCTCCTCCATCGTCAAGCTACAATACCGGCGATCAAAAAGTCTCTACATGTCTCCCAACTTTCCCACCACTTTGTGAATTTCCAAGTAAGCGTACTACTCCAAAAACAGTCAACCGCAGATTAACTTTTTTACTCCTGAAAACAACTAAGCTTTCGCTTTAATATACAACGTCGTCCGCACGACTCTTCCCGACGTGTGTGCAGCTGGGAGCGCTTACTCACAGAGGCGGGCCGCGAATGTAGAAGGTAGCCAATCATGTTGCAGCTTCTAAGACGGGCAATACATGAAACAAATCATAGGGGAGGTTGGGACGGAACAATGATCCGAGGTGACCAATTGCGAGTCGCTTGTGGCATCTCCCATACTCCGCGAGTCGTTTCTATGGTAACGGCAGGGCTTTGGCTTCTGTGTGTGGGCCTCGGAAAGATTACAGAAGCTCCGCCTCAACCTAGGACTGAAAACAAATTTCCACATTAGATCACTTATTCTGTTATTCATTGTCTCCGTGCTCTGTTCTGCTGTTGTCATATGGCAGCGTTTTTTGCCTTTTTAAAAACTTTTTAACTTAGAATGTATGTAAAGTTCATCAACAGGAAACACTAATAAACAGGTTACAACATAGGTTACAACAAGGTTACAAATAAAAAAAATATTGAATATGATGTAATAAGTTGGGTTTCATTTTGTAAATGGTGATAGAGTTTTTGTTTTATACGCTAAGTCTATATCTGAAGAAGCCACGGCAGAGAAGAAGTGGGTAAAAAGCTCAATACTTACTCCTGACAATACTCCTAATAGTCAGCAGGGGGCAAATCCTCTCGATGGGTAGTAGTCTACGGGAAACCGAGGCTTTTCAGCACTTTCCTGGTGGGTTTATGGCCTTGAGGGGTCTTTACCCTTCACAGATTTGCCGTAAGGCAAAATAAATTTTTCTTAAAACCATCGTCCAGCGGATGTCTTTTTAAAAGATTGTTACCAACCAAAGTGTATCAGTGAAATAGGCTTTTTAAATATAACTGTTCTGTCTGTTATTGGTTTATACAAAAATGAAAGAACAAACATAATTTTAATAATAATGCTTAATAATAATAATGGTAATAATAGTAATAGTAATAATCGTAATAATAATGCTTTTAATAAGCAGTAACACATGAAAGGCAATCTTGTTTGTTTATTAGTCACGAGAGGATGTCACATAAAAACAGATGAAAGGGGCAAAATTATGTGCCATAGTCAGAGGTTAAAGTGGGCATGTTTTTATTTATTTGTTTTGTTTTGTTTGTTTTGCTACTACATTGGAATGACTGTGGGTGTCCATAAGTTGTGGTACTTCAGCATCTAGCTAGCCATGTAGAAGAAGAGTGAGCATACGTGTGTAATTTTTTTGTGTCAGGACATTTTGAATGCAAAGGTCCAGCTGCTGTATTTCACAGGGAGAGAAAAGAAATAGAGTTAAGTTTACTTAAACATGGAGCAAGGTAAGAAAGCCAGAACTAGAAAGGAAGAAGAGAGGTTAGACTTAAAGGTAAGGACTGCTCAGTGGTGTTTGATAAACTGGAAATGTAAAGCTTATATTTAAGTACTCATGTATTTAAATACTGGGTCTGTATATGTGCGATTGTGTTTTTCAAGTTGTGAAACATGCTGCAAAAAAAAACAAACAAAAACAGCATGGATTTAAACCAAAGAACAGTGTGTGACTAGCGCACAGTGGCTGTAGTCATGGTCAGAGTTTGTTACATAAAGGGTAGCAGAGATGAATTTGAAGTTAAGCTGATGATGTTCAAATTCATTCACTGAATTCCACATTCATACCAGCTGTATAGTGCACAAATGAAATGCAGAATCAGGGACAGTACCTACAACACAAAGGCAAAAAAAAAAACACACACACACACACATAAGCAAAACAATGACATGCTAGATGCATTTTATTTATTTATTTTAGCTATAACGCTGGTCAGCAGATAACTTTTTATATGAGTATATAAGACATTAAGACATTCTTCCTGAACCAAGAGAGCTCCAGCTCCAGTAACATTTACATCAACCTCCAGTGGTGCTGTAAAATCTGTAGCTGAGAGCATTGGGGCAACAGAATAGAGCTTTTACACAGTGTGAAACGACTATGCACACTTTGCTTCTCAAATCCAACCCTCTGGCTTTTTGTGGGACAATGTGAAAGAGCTATAGTGGTTATATTGCCATTTACTAGATATACTTTACCCCAATCAAATTGTTTGCCTTGACAGGTGATGGTAGTCTCCATAGCTCATATTTAAAAGGCTCTTGTAAACAGTAGACAATATATGCACATGAGAATTCAAGAAAGTATAGAGAACTACCACTTCATCGATGGATATGATGCAGCTTTAAGAAACTTTTTAACAAAAAGGGGGAAATGATTGGTGTGAGGAAGAAGCTACGTATATACAACAAACTCCAATAAATAACCAAAAAAAGCAACAGATTTTCTATTAATTGTGGTGAATTGTTATTACATGGAATGAAATAAAAACCTAAATAAATATAAATAAAAATAAATAATCCAAATCAAAAGCTCTAATACAATAGTTGGTTACTTTTTTAAAGTATTCCACTGTCTGTCTTTGATTTTTTTGATTAATCAGATTTTCCCTTCTCCTTGCTTTGTACCACTTTGGTCACTTGGGGGCAGTTTTGTCCCCTTTTAGCCAGTAAAATACTATCCTGCAAACACTTCTCTTTTCTGTGCGCTCTGTGATTATTTGTATAGAGGTATCTATGGTTCAAACTATGTACATTTTTACAGTTACTACACTGTGGTGGGGTTGGGGGCTGGTGATGTTGTTGCATTCAGTAAATCCAAATGCCAACACATAAAGGTAGTAATTTCTGTCCACCTGTGGATCCAGAACACAACCTGCCATCTGTAGATTTGACCTTTTATGCTCAGTTTGCACCTTTTTACTCTTTGAATAGCTGCCAATTCAAATTTAGAAATGCTTCAAACCACTGTGATGAAGCTCATTCATGTACACTGTTCTTTACAAAGTTTGTAGAAATAACATTTTTTCTGCTCACAATGGCCAAGTAATATAGGAACGTCTGTGACATTTTCACACTGTCAATAATTTAGTGTTGTTCTCTCCTTCACAGCAAACAATGAGGAGGACCTGCTGTCGATGTGAAAAATGTCTTCGTCCTCACATGCAGGGGGGAAATGGACATTCTGTGAAGGCCGAAATGGATTAGGGCAGAACAACTGTCATTTCAGACACCACCTTGAGGTGGCTGTCGTTGTGAATAAGAGGTATATGAATAAAGCTAAATGGAATTGAGCTGAAAAGAAAATAAGGTACTGTGCAAATGTTCCACCAGACTTTTTGGACATTTTTAAGTGGTCTTGAGCAGTAGTTCAACAGGCTTCCTGAAGGTCTTTTTTTGGACTTTAGCTGCTTTTTCATTCACTATTAGTCGGGTCCTTGTACCTTATTATTTTTGTTTGTATGTTTGTTTGTTCTCTGCATCACTCAAGCATAAAAAGATACCTAACTTAAGTGATGGGCCAGTGATGTGTCCACACATAACAGACAACTTAGAAAAGAACATTTTAAATTGTAGCTTTAAGCAATTTGTTAGCAGTGACCTGCTGCAAAAATAAACTTTTTGTTCTCATTTCTTTAGTTAAATGCCACCAATAACACAGACCGGCATAAAATAGTAATTTTGCACCAGCAACATGTTTCCAAAAGAGCTATGAACCAAAAACTTGGCATATATTTGGTTGGTGTGCAGGGTGTCACTGAGGAAACTGGAAAAGTGGAGGGCAAAAGAAAAAGCCTTAAAAATAATCTACAGCAGATGAACAGTATCAGAAGACATGTCCTTAAGCAATAGGGAAAAATCCGGAAAAGACCTGAGACAGGACCTGAGAAATGCTTTTGACAATTCAGCCAATCCATCTACAGTACTGTTCGTCAAAGCCTCACCAGAAGTGGTCTTAATGGAAGGATGGTTGAATATAAGAATCAGTCCATTATCTGTAAAAAAAAAAAAAAGAATGGTGGTGGCTCTGTCATTGTTTGGTGCTGCATTTTAGCCAGTGGTGTTGAGGAGCTTAATGGAGTTACGAATGCAGAAAAGTACCATCAGATTAGGATCCACCATGTATTGCCAACTAGAAAGGCTTCCCTTTTCAGTGTGACAGTGATTCAAAACACAGTGCCAATGAGGTACAAAACATGCCTGGATGGAATAATATACACTGTGAGTTGTGGACTGCTCTCCCCACAGCCCTGGACATAAGCATTAGTGAAGCAGTGTGGGATCACCTTGACAAAGAACAGAACAAACAAGCAGCCAATATCCAAAGTAGAGCTGTGAATTTCATTCAAAAAGCCCAGAGCACTGTTCTTGATGATGCCTTAAAGAAATTACAAGAAAGCTTACCTGAAAGAGTTCCTGTTGTGTTGAAGTATAAAGGTGGTCATACCAGATATTGACTTTCTAGGCCATTAGAATCTGACAAACTCTGGTTTTGCCAGTTATACTGTATTTCCATTTTTCTTTGCACATAAATTACTGCACCTATTTACCATTTTTATGGCAAAATTTAAACCACTGAGGGGTGACTCAAGAATTGTACAAGGTACTGCATACAAACTTTAGTCTTCTCTAAGGAAAGGGACACTAAAGGTAGCACACTCAGGGGTGCTGGTTGTGAGGTTGAAAGCACTTCACTGGGAAGTGGTACTAATGAAGCAAGGTGACAGCTCTTAAGACAAAGCCACTGAGGTGACAGGAGGTCCCACAGAGCAAGCTAGGGGGCAGTTTTTTGTAACAGAAGGTTACCTGAGCGGGCAGGGTGCCTGGCAGGCCTTGCTGCCCTTTCATTAGCTTGCGTGTCATCCAGTCTTTTAATGGGGGTGGTCCCTGACAACAGCTACACTCAGCAGCATTATGAGTACAAAGCTGGATTGTTCTCTGCACACATGAAGACTGTAATACTTCAAACTTAGAAGGTGCTTTGGGGTGATGAAAAATTCAGACTGGGGTAGTCTGTGATGTGTGAGCTGTCAAATCAGATCAAATAATTAGCTTCTTTTAGAAGAAGATTTTTTTTTAATCTTGTCTAGCAATAAATGTGTGAATTTAAATAATACAATAAAGAGACACTGGTTTTCTATCAGGTGTTTATTTATTTCAGGTATAACATGAGCAACAGAATATGTAGCAGCAATTAGCAGGCTGCTGATATAAGCAGCACGGTCAGCTGCTTATATAAACTCCACACGCATGTATATGTATGTAGATAGATAGATAGATAGATAGATAGATAGATAGATAGATAGATAGATAGATAGATAGATAGATAGATAGATAGATAGATAGATAGATAGATAGATATGCACTCCCTGAGCATCTGGCAGCACATATGAACCAGCTGCTAGTTGACGAAAGACACCCGGAATGGCTAACCAAAGGCCGGAGAGTTCTGATTCTCAAGGACCCCCAGAAGAGACCAGTCCCATCCAACTACAGGCCAATAACCTGCCTCAGTACCACGTGGAAGCTCCTGTCAGGCATCATAGCGGCTAAGATGAACAGGCACATGGCTCAGTGAGTGGGGAACAGGTCGGGATTGGCAAGAATACCAGAGGCGCAAAACACCAGCTACTGGTAGACCGAGCAGTCAGTCGAGACTGCAAGACTAGTTTGGTGTTGAGACAACAAACATCCATGAGTACATCAAGAAGATGTCCCCAACTAACTGCATGCTCAGTGAATACCTCAGGCAGCAGAAACCCAAGAACGAGGAGGATAAGGAGGAACCATCATGGAAGGATAGGCCCCTGCACGGTATGTACCACAGTTAGATAGAGGAAGTGGGTGATATCCAGATATCCTATCAGTGGCTGGACAAAGCTGAACTGAAAGACAGCACAGAGGCAGTAATCATAGCATCACACGAACAAGCTCTGAGCACAAGATCCATAGAGGCTGGGGTCTATTCACACCACACAAGAGCAGGCTGTGTGAAGATGCCACCAAGACAATCCAGCACATAGCAGCAGGGCATACATGGAACGCCATAACCAACTGGCCAGCATAGTACACAGAAACATCTGTGCCGAGTATGGACTGTCCCGAGGTCAAAGGAAACGATCCCTAGGGTGGTGGAGAATGGCTGAGCTAAGATCCTGTGGGACTCCCACATACAGATGGACAAAATGGTGGTGGCTAACCAACCGGACATAGTAGTGGTAGACAAACAGAAGAAGCCAGCTGTAGTGATAGAAGTGGCAATACCGATGACAGCAACATCATGAAGAAGGAACACGAAAAGATTGAAAAGTACCACAAACAATGTGTGTTGTAGTGGTGGTAAGGAGAGTATATTTTGACACCCGTCTACAGTTCGGATTATGCATTACATAAGGGTTAGTTATGGTAACTAATGCATGAGGGTGCATTCGTTTTTAAAGTATAGAATTCCACTGGTATTTTAACCTAACAGTGGATGACAGATGGCCCAAACTGATTTTTCTTTTTTTAACATTTCACACGTTATTAAGGATTAATGAACCAATCGGCATGTGCCAGCTAACATTTATCAGGCAAAATTAGCGTCCCATGAAAAGGAAGGTAAGGGTATAAGAGTTGTTGTCATTTGCTAATTTCATATGGGCTTTTTGTATAGTGTATTTAGTTGTTAACTTCTGTCAACTGGCATTAATAAAGAACTAGAATTTGCACCAACTTAGTAGAAATAACAGGAAGTGGAATGGATGTCTCAGAGTGGCTCTGCTTGAACTGAATGTTAATGTCTGCAGTGTGAGTATGTTATCCATAATGATTGTTGATTGTTATGGTAAAATATACCACATAGCACAATACATAATACATAGGATAGTGCACCTTCAAATAAGGGCAATGATTATGGGCAATAACGTTTTCAGCACATTTTATCTGTTCAGTACGTGTAAAGATCAGTTTGGATAAACCAACCACTTAATGGTTAAAAGAATGAAACAGGGATCTCAAAACATTCTGAAACTGTGAAATTTCATGCCCCAATGGCCTTTGTTCCCATTTGTATTGTATCATACACGTGAGCAGCATGCTGGGCTCATTAGTATTTCCATAGCATCCTCACAGCACAGCAGTTGGTTACTACATTAAAGAACTGAGTTATTGAGGGAGGGCTGGATTAAGAAAAATACACCCCTGTTGATGGGGTATGCTCATCACTCTGCCAGGCACAGATGTAGGATTTTGAAAGTCATAGTATAGGTGCATGTACTATGAATCTTGGATGAGTTTGAATCTCAATGACTTTGAAGGTCAAGGTCAGAAGCCAAGTTTTCTGAAAATCCATTCAATACAATAACTCAAGAAAGAAGTCACCTAGGATTTTCAAATTGATTTCATATGTGAATCTACTAGGAGACTGAGGATAAGCACTGGTGGCTACCTATATTTTGTAAAACAAATAAATAAATAAATAAAATCTTTAAAACTATGCATTAATTATATTTATTTGGCCTTTGATTCAAGAAACACGCTTTACTGCTTTGGGACAGGACTATTGAAATAATATTTATATTCTGTTGTCTCTTTACCCAGAGACTGCCCTTTCTGAGTTTTTCAATGAAAGTGAAAAAAATCTAACACCATAAAATAGACTCAAAGAAATAAAGGTTGAACAGTAAAACATGAAGGAGTTTCAATGTAAAGGCCAGTATGGACATATTCTAGTATGGGCATGTAGTCCACAGACTACTATAAGGATAACACCTACATTAAGCACTGCCTGAGTATCCAAAGTCTTACATGTTTTATCCCTCTGTGCCATCCAGCTCCATTCATCTAGACTTGTCTGTAGAACCAACTATGGAGTCGTGCTCCATAGACAAGAGAATATTTTTGGTAATACAATACACAGAAAAAAGATATAATGACTTTTCAAAATACCTGTAAATAGCGGAAGGAGTGGTTTCAGTAGAAAAGATGGTAGAAAGTTTGTTTTTAAATGACATTGTAAGATTTATATGGGATTTATATATTATTTATGTCATTGTTTGTCCTCTAGAATGCTGATTTTTTTTTTTTGTGGAATCCGCCCACTCTTTTTTTGCATTAATCATTGCCTAACTGCAAATTTTCTAAAGTCACCACTGTGTTTTATGTTGAAGAGAGGACACAGTCATATATTTCTGTAAATTTGGATTAATTTGACATATGAGTGCATGTATATGGATGTTCACTCATAATATGATACTTGTCTTTGTTACATAACAAAAAGTTTTTTTTTTATTATCTTAAATATTAAATATTAAAGAAGCACAAAACCCAAAACAAATACTTTTACCAATGAGTATTTATTCAATGATCCGAAAGGAATACAGCGATTAACAGCATGGTAAAAAATGAAAGAGCATGGGTTTTTTATTTGTTTGTTTGCTTTATTGCTTTTTTTTGCAGACTGTTTTCCACTTTTACACTCACAGATCAGTGTGATTAACATGTTTGAGGAACAAGAAAAAAAAAGTCTTGCAGATTGGGGAAGGGACAAACTAAGATCTTGTTGATGTGAACCAGACGCCTGTTCCTCGAACCTTTTATTCAAACCTATTATAAATGAGAGAGAAAATTGGAGTTCTGACATCAGTACTTTTAGGTAGAACAGACCCTTCAAAGATACTGTTTATAGTAGATCCATGTGTGCAGAGGATAAGGACCACATGCAAAGGAGAAATAAGCCCCATTATTTGTATCTGTGAGCAGTGTCATCAGCAGCAGTATGTAGCCCTTAACAGTGAGGTAATAAAGGTAAACAAAGGCTTTGACAAAAGCCATTCCATGTGACATGTAACCAATAATGACATTAAAAGCAATGCACATTTTTTGAGAGTTGTTAGCAGGTATAATCAGAGCTCTTGAAGGTGACTTAGCACTTGTTTCCTCTTACATCAAGCTAATACCATGAAACTACCAAATGATTTTATTTAATCTTTAGGGATAGACTTGCCTTTGGTAATTACAGTATCATCATATAGAAAGAGATACAAATTTATATAGATTATGCAAAACCTCATCTCAGCCTCAGCGAAAATGACAAAAGTGTTAATCTAACTGTTCTCATGAGGGTGAAGTTTTTCACTTTGCTATCAGAAATGTTACAATAAGCACTGACCACCATGTGTTGTATATCTAGAGCGATTAAATATTGTTTGCATTGGTGTTTTCATTTTAAATGGATGAGGGGTAACTTGGAGAAATAAAAGGGTTGGCACGATGAGGACTAAGCATGAAAAAATAACAGTTGTCTCTCCGGCTGCTTGTCCAAACAAGCTGTAGCTGCCCTCATCTGTCATTTCAGCCAAAAAGAATCAAGTCACATACAAACATCAGCATCTCATGCCTCCAAGTACCTTCTGGCCCAACATTACACAGCCACCTGCAGGTGAAGAAACAGTGGATAAAGCTTCCATTTGTGTCAGACTTGTAAATCCACTTTAACACAAAAAGCAAGCAAAGATGCTGCTTGATTTCTCTCAGTGAAGATCAGAAGGTTGCAGTTAAGTCCCAGAGGGAGTGTTTGGAGGTTGCTGCTGTAGTGTCTCATCTATGGTGACCACTACCTCCTCCTGTCTGTTGGAGCTCAGATGGTTGGTGTGGTTCAGGGATATGTAGCTCATTTCCACCAGCGGGGGCCTCTCACTCATCTCATTCATGGTGTTGGTGATTGAGTTAACCTCGGTCTTGTTGCGGTTGGCAGCACGGCGAGAGCCAAACACCCAGTCTGAAATAGAGACAGTCATAGTGTTGCTTTGATAGGCATCAGTTCAAAGCAGATACCTGTACTACAAGGAAGGATTAGGGATCTTACTGATCTAACTTCAGGTAATATTTTCAGCATTTTTCAAATTGGCTCACTTGTACTTGTTAGTACGTCATACTGTCACTTAGGCTACTGACCTAACATTCCCCGAAGAAGGTAATGTTCACATGCAAAACCACCGCCTACTGAACAATCCCTTCAATCACCACTATTCCTGGAAGATCCATGAATTAATTGAGCACACAGTAAGAGAATCTAAAAAATATGCCCAGTTCCCGAATATAATCTCTTTGCAAGCCAAAAAAAAGCTCAGAATTGCAATTAACTAAATACAAATAAAAGATAAATACTCAGTTAAAAAATGTATACTAACCTTTCAATATAAACATATTCTCTTTTTTTTTCTTTGTTTGTTTTAATAAACCTCTTATGTCTGGCAGTTTTAGCAAGCAGAATCATGGTCTTAATGGCCTGCTGTGGCATACACATTTGCTTTGCCAAGAGGAGGTCTATAGGCTCTCTACAGGCTTCTCTTCTAAGTCTTTTCCTTTTTCTCTTTCTTTTATTATTCACATTAGTATCTGTGTCGTCATTTGCTCGAACAAGGTTGGAGCAAATGGGGAGAAGTGACAGGTTAGAAAAAGAAAGGGGAGGCAAAAAAGAGAAGGAATAAGAGGAAAAGATAAAGAAAAGGGACAGGAAAGAGGTGGGACCTCAAGAGAGTCGTGTAAAAACAAGCTCAACGAAGTGAAGCAACGCTGTGAAGAAGAGCAGACCAAAATTCCCTTACAATGATGTGAGAGATGGAAGTTAATATTGCTAAAGGTGGTTCTACAAGCCACAGATGCATCGGGTATACTTTATATCAATGGTTGTTTTTTACAGACCCTTACACAAACTTTCTTGGATGTAATTAGAATATATTAATCAACATAATATCATAATAATTTTCCTAAGCTAAGTGTTAAATAATTCCCACTCTTATGCCTAACCACCTACCATTCCTTAAGTCCTTTACCCTTCAAGGTGAGTTTATTCAATCTGACACTTCAATGTTAACAATAAAAACTCACAAGGTCTTTCATTTTCATTTTTTAGGTAGTTTATTTCCTCGACCCATCCCCAAATTCCAACCTCAAATTGCTATCCCCTCCCCACGGCTTGCTGTATGTCATCGCACTTAAATAATCCTGGAAATACAGCTGTGTTTATTATTGTAATTTCAAAACCCAATTTCAGGAATTTCACAGGAAGAGGTGTGAAACTTGAACTCTCCGTGTAAGTGAAGCTAATAAGCACTTTTCGTGCCATGGTTAGTTTATGATAAACCATCACAGATGATGCTTTGTGGAAGGGAAGCATAAACTGCAGACCCATACATTCTGCAACGGGGCAAAAACAAGCATGCTGAGCATTTATAATGTGCACTGAACAAGGCTGTAAACTTCATCTAACAAAAAGTCGTGATGGGTTCAGCCTCTGTAATTCCATTAGAGGCAAAGCACCATAAAATTGTTTCTGGGGGTAGATGTCTACTGCACAGCAGCCCCATCATGTGTGGTGGAGCCTTTTTGAATTGGAACCCATCAATCATTGTTCTGTCAGATTAGGATCTGAGATTATAGCTGACAGTCGTGAGTGTGAGGAACAGAAAGAAGGCAGGGCGGGATTCCTCAGACCCATAGATTCCCCTGTTAAATCATGCATTTCAGACTCTGCTGCAAAGTGACAGAGAAAAACTGAAAGTGAGCCAACAGCATGCTACACTAAAAATTCACATTTAGATTCATCTGATCTGATCATCAATAAATTCTAAGCCTATTTTTGAACTGATGCAGTTTAGGTGTTATTTGGAAGCCCTGCATTTTTAGCAGCCAGCAGGGTAGCTGTGGACCAGGTGGTAGAGTGGGTCATCTACCAATCAGGTCAGTGGATCTATCCCCAGCTCCTCCTATTCATATGTCAAAGAATTTGCACAAATGATACTGAAACCTCCATCCTGCATCCATCGGAATATGTGGTTAGATAAAAGTGTTTTAGCATGATATACATCATCACTTTAAATCCCAGCTGAGCAGAGATGTGGAACTGTAGAAAGGAGACTTCAGAGTGTCATGAACCTGAGAAGAGGAATACAGATACTGTAAAGTATGTTTCTTTGAGTCAAATCTCGACTGATGGAGCTCTAGAGACAAGTTTTATCACAGGAGAGGAAATATTTATTTCATATTTTTAAGACATTTCCCTCTCTTTATTGAGTTGTCGTGTTCAAGCTTGTGAATCAAGTTGTGTGAGACTTGTAGAAAAAAAAATGACCTTTTGGCCCTGTAAATATTATCTTGATTATATATTGAAATTCAACAAGACCTTTACTATTTTCATGCATTTTCCATTAAAAAGTCTTTTATTGGAAAACTTTTATTTAATGGGTTACTTTTGTTTGTAATTTGAAAATGCAAATTTAACCCATCATACTATGTACTATTAACTGCTGAAATGTCAGACAACTAAAACCTGACAAAGTAAGTGAAATATATTTGAATTCTCAAAAGTGAACCAGAGACGGTATAAAATATGGACGTAGCTTCCAGGTCAGAAAAATAAAGCCACAAGCAGGAGTGCTATAAACCTTCATTTTATCCTAAAACCACCACATAGTGAATTTTGGGGCATTCTGAATAAAACATTAAATATGTTTTATAAATCTTGGTCATACCATGGAGAAATATCTGTAGCTCATTGACTAACCTGGTATCAATCACAAGTCACTAAGAATGTAACTTCACAATCAGAATTTGTGTGCAGCATGTCTTTAAGCAAAGATTGAATAAAAACCCATAGTGTACACTACAGCTCATAGCATAACAGCAAATATTTGAACACTTCAGAAAAGAGTCTGTCAGCTTGACTAAGATTTTAGTGTAGTCATTAAACTAAGGATTAAATCTTTTTCATAGTGAGTAATCCAAACCCCACAGCATCTTAAATGTTCTCTTGATTAAATTCTAGTGTGTTTTTGTAGGCTTCTTAATGCTTATCTTATATGATGGTGTTTATCTCTGCTCATGACCCTCAATATGCACTTATTTTGAGAGCAATTTAACGCTCATCCTAAATGTTCCCTTTAAATTTGAATTTTCAATTCAATTTTTCAATTCAATTCCTGAATTGTTTTTATGCTCTGTAGCTGTTTTTATGTTCTTTAGCTAGCCACCAGGTAGCACACATTTTATATTAGCTAGCCCAACATCACTAACCCACCATTTTTTATTTTTTTGGTGCTGGTGTGCTTGCTAGCACCAAAAGATGTCATATTAAAAAAAGTAAGACTGATGCACAATGACGAGTTTTTAACAAGAGATTGACAGCTAAGTACTTATTTACTGAAGTCAGGGGTAAAGCCATGTGCTTAATGAAGAACACATTTAACAATTTACAATTTGAAACACCATTCTGAAACTAAATACGCAGAGAAATACATGAACTTTACTGATGGAGAGCAGGTATCACTGCTTCTGCTAGCTACAAAAGCATAAAAGACTTTTTTTTTTTTTACCAAGCTTGAGTCTACCATACTAATATGAAAAAGCATTTAAAATGTGCGCTTCTCCAGGCAAATTTGCAAATCTGGAGCTTTAGTTGAAAAAAAAAAGGGAACAAATTTGACATTCCTCCTTGACTCTGGACAAGAGCTGTGCTGTCCGTGGAACAGGTAATTGCATGCTATGATGGGCTTGATGTAAAATGGGACAAATTTGAGAGCATCTGTGAGGCTTTGTAGTCTTTTTAACCTTCCTGTGGTGAGAAGGAAAATGTCTGCACAACACAGATTCTCCACATTTACACCTCAGCAAAATACCCAGGAGGCCAAACACTCTGTTTGTGTTAGTGCATGTGTGTCAGTTTGAATGTTCATGTGAAGGTGAACAGTTCAGGTGAGGTGAAGGAGACAGAGAGGAGGGGCAGCGTGTCTTTGTGGCAAATCTAAGTGCTGCAGCGTGTGACCCATGTGGACATTTTTTTTACCTGGTTCACTGGTGTCTGTACCATCACCTTCCCCAACAATCGACCTGCCTCCACCTGCAAACAGTGAGCAACAGAACAAATGTGTAAGATTTGGCGCACACTACCTTCTGAGTGTTATGAAATGATAAAGACAGAAATCATATGAACACAACAGGTATAATAAAAGGTAATGAAAACACACCAACATGGCCACTGTGGTGCTGAAGACCAGTACAGTTCTGCTGTACTACTGAGTATAATTCGTGACACTTAAAATGCATACAAAGGATGCAAAGAAAAAAGTGATAAATGTTGAATAATACCTGTTTTATTTGTGATGGGAAATACCAGAACAAAAAGTACATAAAAATAGTAAAATATGGTGATGCATGTTTTGTGTTGTGACAAAAGAAAGTGATAGCTATAGTGTATATGAATTTAATATACATTTGCAAACTATTTTCCTTACAGCAAGACAAATTATCACAAGAAAAGAGTAGTTGTGTTCATTTTTCTAGAAGAAATATTACCATATTAATGAAAGAAATTAAGCATACACGCTTAACCCAAAAGTCAAAGGTTTTCGATACATATTATTGTTAATACTATAATTAGGTTAGCATTCAGATTATCAAAGAAATAATATCCAGATTATATCATAAATAATTTTTATATGCTGTTTTTAAATTATGACTTCGTTAGTTAATGGAAATAAAGCTACCCAAACTATCTGGCCCTAGGAACTGTACACAGACATTAAATCATGAATTAACTGTGATTATTCAGATTTTTT